GCTAGTCATCACCACCCACCGCCAGCTATTGGGCTACTTTTTTTACCAACAAATAGTGGGATTGACCGTTACATTATAACGCCCCCACGGGGCGAGCATGTTTGGTATGACGGGGATTCGAACCCGCAACCCTCAGATTGTCAGTCGAGCGCCCTAGCCACCCGGCCATACCGGGCCAGGAATGAGGAGGTCCAGTATAATTTGTTAATTTCTAACGTTTTCATAAGTTTAAGTGAATCAAAAGGGTGAATAAACAGTTGGTGAGCTCAACTTTCCGTAGTTTAATGAATCAAGATGGCCAGTAAACAGTTGAAAAGCTGAACTTTCAGAAGCTTTAACGAATCGAGAATACCAGAAACTAGCTGATTAGCTTTAACTTTCAGAAGCTTTAATGAATCAAGAGGACCAGTAACCAGCTGATTGGCTTTAACTTTCAGAAGCTTTAACGAATCAAGAGGACCAGTAAACAGTTGATGAGTTCAACTTTCCGAAGTTTAATGAATCAAGAGGGCCAGTAACAAATTTGTAAATTTTCAAGTTTTCAGAACTTTTAGTGAATCGCGAGGATCAAGAGAGTCAGTAAGCAGTTGGAAAGTTCTTTTGTTCGGAAGTTTTAGTGAAAGAAGAGGGTCGGTAACTAGTTTGGTGAATTCTGACGTTCAGAATTTATAGTAATTGAAGAGGGTCAGTAAGTAGTTTCTGTGTTTTAGATAATGTTTAGGTTTATTTAGTAATCTACTCTTTGAACGTAAAGCTAATATATAACCTAACTAAACGAGTTACGCAGGTGTGTGAGAACAGGCCTAGTTGGAATGGAAGTTATTTTTAGATGAAGAACCAGTTTTAATTTCGAGAATAAGAGAAAGAAACAAGTTGCTTTGTATAATTGGAGAACTTGGATGAAGTGATTTGCCACAGGTAAATATTTGTATATGATGTTAATGCTCCTCAGTTCGTCTGCGAGCCATATGTGAGTTCTAGAAGCCGGTTACTTAATAAAAAAACCTCCTCCGTGTAGATCAAGATGTTATTCAGACAACATTCCAAAACTATATTTAGCACTCGTAAATGAAAAATGAAGATGATCCCAGAAATTCCGACTTTTCAGGACAAAACATCTTGCTTTGTTGAAACAATACGAGGCTTTTTTCTTTTGTGTGAGTGGTTTTGAGAAATGTGACATGCTAGTGTGCACAACACAAGTGTGTAACTTCGAGATATGAGCACGGGTTTGTTCCGACCTCAAGATGTATAAGATACAAGCAGTTGACGTGTATTCTAAATTTAAAACTCTCGTGTAAATATTGGATTATCTTATATTCTACCGGTGGTGGAGGAAAATAATTGTTAATTAAAAAGAAAAAGCAACATATCTTTCCAGGAAGCTTACTGTTAAGTGCTAAGTCGTATTATAAAAAATCCCAACTTCTTCGCGGATACCAGAAAAATTACACATATTTTGTTATTAAACATGCTCAGCTACCGTTAGGAAATTTTGTCAAAGAACATAAAACATGTTTTTCTTTCTCAGAAACTCCTGTAGGTTGAAATGTAATTTTGAATGTTGTATGGAGTTATTTAATTTGTATTTGAACAGTAATAAAAAGTTGTTCCAAACACGAATCCTTGGATAGAATGAGTAAGGCAGAATAAACAACTTCATACGATTTTGAAAATTACTGTAGAGCAATTTGGAGTCCAAGTTTTTGGTTGTTTAAATTGAGTTTTAGCAATGTTTTAACTTCCTTGTGATGAAAAGTTGTGATGAAATTTTTGGATAGAATGGAGTAGGGTATAATAAGCAATTTCATGCGCTTTTGAAAAAGGAAGAAGTATTTGGAATCCAAGTCTTTTTGGTTATTTTAAGCTGTGTTTGAACAATGTTTTAACTTTCTTGTGCTAAAAAGTTCTTCTAAACATGAATCTTCGGATAGAATGGAGTAAAGCAGAATAAGCAGCATTATGCGATTTTGAAAATGAAAAAAGAACAATTCGGAATCCAAGTTTTGTGTTTATTACAAACTTTAAGATCACATGGTACGCCACCGAAAAACTGTTTTAGTTTATAACCAGGCAAAACACTAAACAGATATAGAAATTAAACGACTCATGTTTACGTGTCATATTTATTCTGTAAAACGTGAAGAGTTTGATCATTTCGGCATTACATTTCCAAAACACAGTTTACAGCTATGGAAAATCATGGAAATAGTATTAGCACATTAAAACTTGTACTTGCGAAACATTAAAAGTGTTATAACATCAGAAATGTGTTTATCTTAGACGTTTATGTACTATGCTCTTGACACAATATGGCTGAAGTAAACTTTATGACTTCTTGAGTGAACATATAATATTGAGTTGACCTATTTTCTGAAATATAACTTGGTAAGAGTGAGCAGGTTTAAATGTTACCTAAATATACTAACTCATTAGAGCTGAAATGACTTAAATGCATCTCCCCAAGTCATGTGAAGAACACAAAATCTGTTAGACTTGAACACTGCTCGATTTATTTGTTCGTTTTGAATTTTCGTACATGCACACAGTCGTTCCTAATTTTGAAGCGAGAAACTAGAAGAAAGGTACTTAGCTAACACCTACCCACCGCAAACTCATGGAATAGTTGAACTGGACCATCACTTTTATAAGGCACTCACGGCCACAACGTGCGGAGCGCGATATTTTATTTCTTTCTTTTTGTGGTAACGGGCGCGAACACAGATCCATAGTCAGGCATGCTATCCACTGGGCCACTCTCAGCCCTTGGGTTACTTTACTTCTGCGTGACTGAATAGTGGGATTTGACCATCACTCTTATAGCGCACCATCGGTCTCGAAATGCTGATTCACAGTCCGGGTACGTTAACCATGAGGATACGCCTGGCTACACTACTAGAAAATTATGAATTTCATAAAATGCACAGACCTTAAAATTAATTAAAATTCTAGAAATTTTACTTTTTAAATATATTTTTGTTCTATAGTGGGTTTGTTTGTTTGTTTGAATTTATGCACAAAACTACACAATGGGCTATCACTGCTCTGCCCACCACGGGTATCGAAACCCGGTTTCTAGCGCTGTAAGCCCGCAGACATACCGCTGTGCGACTGGGGGCTTTTTTTTTTTAAAAAGAAGAGAGTGAAGGAAAATTCTCTTGAGAACAATATTTTCTTAAAGTTAATTACAAAATATTAAAAATAGTAGAATAAAGTGGATAATAATCAAAATAAGAAATTGATCACTTTTAATGAAGATACTGAATGATCTCGTACGATTATTTGAAAAAAAGTGTCCGAAAAGCTCGAATATTTTCAAAAGGAGGTCCCTTCAGCTGTAAAAGGGGAGGAAAAACTGGATAATTGATTCCATAGGCATGGTTGAGAACACAAAACTCGAAAACTCACTAACTGGTTGTTTCTAGCCTTTTATGGACAAGATTTGTTCCTTTATTTATTTTTCAGATTACTAATCTATTATAACATAATAACCGCCATGTCGTTGTTTTATAAATTTTTATGAATTATAAATCATAAAATTGCATTAAAGGCATAACCGTAATAAATGTATACCCGTGAAAAGTTTTCTTTTCTCCCAGGGAACTGATCTGGAAACCTAAATAATGGTAACAGTTGTTACTTTATTTTTAGTAAGCGATAACGCTTTACTTTAGCATGTCGGGACCTTGCATGGCCTGGTGGTTAGGGCGCTTGAACTCGCAATTTGCGGGTCATGAGTTCAAATCCCGTCACAAAACATGATCGACCTTTCAGCAGTGGGGACGTTACGATATGACGGTCAATCCCACTTTTCGTTGGTAAAAGAGTAGCCCAAGAGATGGCGGTGAGTGGTTTTACTAGCTGCCTTCCATCTGGTATATCATTTCTAAATTAGAACGGCTAGCGCAAATAGCCCTCGAGTAGCTTTGCGCGAAATTCCAAAATTCCCATGTGTGTCATGGACTAGAGGAAGAAATTGTTTACTGGATACTAACGAATAATAATTCAGCTTCATCGCGTATATATTGATAATTTTATCACAAAAGTGCATTTTTTATAATCCACAGTATCTCAGCGGTAAGTCTGAAGGCTAACAACGCTAAAAATCGGGTTTCGATACCCGTGGTAGATACAAGCACAGATAGCCCATTTTATAACTTTGCGCCTCACAACAAACAAATAAAACATTTTTCATACTAAAATCAAAAACTGACTTTAAATACTTAGTTTCTTAGTTTACAGCACATTACAATTTGTTAATGTGTTGTTTTTTGTTAATTACTATTTGTTAATTTGTTTTTGTATCAATAACAGCACATTACTATTTGTTAATGTGTTGTTTTTTGTGTGAATAAAGTACCCTTATAATAGGAAAAGTATATTGCTGAAGTTATTGCATATTTTCATATATTTGTTCATGGCAGTGTGTTGTTTTTCTTTTAACTAATTATGCAGTGTTTGTATGTATATCTGTAAAGTTCGGATAGTTTTAGTAATAAAAAGACCAATTTTTAAACTAAATTTAGTAAATCTTTTGTTTAAATTTTAAAAAATCATGATGTTTAACGCAGTTAACTTGTTGCGTGGGACATGTTATGTGCTAAATTGAGAGTACAAGTCGGGATGTCAAACCTGCTCTTTCATAACCTAGATTCTATAAAAGCTAAATATTAGTCCAGTAGAAATGCTTGATTATTAAAGTACTGTTTACTGTAGAGGTGGATCTGAGTACGTTCAGTTGATATGATAATAACGACTTGTTTGCACACACCATTGTATTAGTTGTGTATACATAGTAGTAAGGTACTGCGCATGCGTATGTAGTATGCGGGCAAGATAATGTTCCTTGAAAACACTCAGCGTTATCGTATGTGATAGGTAATGCCAATGACGTTTTACGGATTGCCTGTAAAGCATTCTGCTGCTTTCAGTTCGTCTTCATGCTTCAGCAACAGAAAGTTTTATATCAATGAAGAACGTTCCGGTAAGTTTCAAGAGCCGAAGATTTCTCCCCTCCACTCTCTTATTCGTAAGTGATAAACTTATGGACTTGATACTTGGATATTAATTGATGATCGTATGCGTATGCCTTGATATAAAACGATGATTGATATAAGCTACAAAGTCATTTGGTTACGCAACGTCGCTCGCACTTCGTGTCTGTATGTTTTCATTGGAACTGGTGGAGGTTATTTCTAAGTTTTACATCTAGCACGTACCTTTCACACATTTTCCCAAGTTTGTAAGAAATACATTTCTCTTAAATTAAGGTCTTGTTTTATTTATCTTAGACTAATTATTTAATAGGAATAGTTTTATAAAGTTTCACTGGTTATAGATAACATTACGGCTGCTTGAAAGAAGTTTTTCTTTTCTGAATTATGAGAATGCACAAATGCATAACATTCTAATCGTTATATTTGATGGATATTTAAGCATAATGATGAAAGTGCCTACACCTTTTTTTTTCTCTGTATGGTTTAGAAGTATAAACTTGAAAATCGTGAGACTGATTTCATACTGGATTAACTTCTAGGTTAAATGAGAGTTGCCCTTAGTGATGTACGTTTGATAACAGTAGTTAGTTAAATTAGTTTGTCAGTAAATTCTGTAGTTTTTAGCTGTAAAACCGCTACAAAGATACTTGCCACGTTTAATTGGATGAATATAGGAGTGGATATTGAACTAATGGTATTGTTGGTAATCATTAACTCAAAAGGCCAAGTTGCAAAATCGGTGCACTACAAACGAGATGTGACTTATACTTGTAGTCTATGGCAATGTTTTTACATAATGCTTAACACCTGCAACGTAAAGATTTGCATTTGGCAACGTTCGAATGGTAGCATTACATTCTTCAACCTCTGACCTTCTTCTAAAAGAAAAATAATTCGAATGTTTATCAAAGCATAAGAACAGGTAAGTCCTGCATGAAACTTTGTTAATATAGACTGTCTTCTATTATGAAAATTAAGTATTACACTTTTACAACCTGAAAGTACCAGAAACAGTTTTAGTTATTTAATTCTAAAATTAAACCGCTTCTCACCAACCAGGGTCTCTCATGACCTCGTGGTTAATCCAGACACTTGACTCACAATCAGCGGTGCGTGGGATCGAAACCCACTTTCGAATATGCTCGCCCTTTCCGCTGTAGGGACATTAGTATGTGATGGTCAATCCCACTATTGTAAAGAGAAGCCCAAAAGTTTGTGGTGGGTACTGCTAGCTGAGTTGTCTTCCTTCCCTCTGGTCATCAGCTCAAAATTAAGGACAGCGGCAGATAGCCTTAATAACTTTGCCATGAAGAAACAAATATAAATCAGTTTTTACCTGTTAGAAAAGTAATGAAAAAATGATAATTTAATGGATTTTATTTCAACCAGCGGTGGGAAAGTTACTTGCGCTGCCAAAGATTGCGTTACCTAAAAAACAACAACAAAGGGGAATCCTCAACAGCCGCGCCACTTGAAATTATTTTAGGTTGGATTATAGAAAATTTATGTATGAGACCTTTTTTTACTCTATACTAGCTATATTTCTCTGTGCCAGCAACACCAAGCATGGGGCGCACGTTTAGCCGATTCGATTTTATTACACATCAGGATCTGTACCAGCATACCATCAAATTGAAATTATTTTAGGCAGGATTAGAGTCAATTAATCTGTGAGACTTTGGGCGTGGTCAAATACATCAATCGAAAGGGTTTGACCTCCTGAGTCGAAAACTGTAATTAGATCTCAAATCGGTCAAGAGATGAAGGAGCTATGAGCTAAAAGTTTGTACTTGAACATCTCAGAGCCGTTCAATGAGCCATTATGCCGCGGCTAAAAAGAAGACACAACACTATTTTACAGTTTCTTACAGACTTTGTTTCTGTGACATAAAATCTATCCAAACAATAGTGTTAAGGTTTCCAGGCTTTAAAAACGTATTTTCAAAGAGAGCTCTTATCGTACATCCAAGATAGGTTATCGCTTCCGAATCACTCCTCTGAATACAAATAACGCACTGCAGTAAAAGAAAAGGTTCTCTTCTTTCCATAATAAATAATGATTTCTGTATATCCTTTTTGTCTGATCTTGGACCACCACTAAACTATTTTAATGAATTAAGTAAATTATTTACATTTATATCCAAATAGCACAATAGGCTGTAGCAGGAGCGCTGTATTAGATGTGTGTACTTTTCATCTTCTCCCACTGTAGTTGACACTAGGGTTCAACACCTTAGTGCCTTCTCTATCCAATACTACTCCCATTGTTTTATCAGCATTGTTCGAAGGTCGATGTACATACATAAGCTACAAGAATAAGGCACAGCTTGCGTGGGCATACACAGTTGTTTATATTGGTGTGCTGAGCTTGCCTTTATCAAACACAATGGCCTTTGAACACGCAAAGTCTACCTGTATAAATGGTCCACTAAGCTGGATAAGTAAACAATGTTGCAAAAAAAAGCTGAGTACTTTCTCATTCTCCACCCAAATCCTGAAGAAGAATAGACCATTCTTTCAAAGCTCTCGAGACTGTACGATTATTATAAGAAAACAACAAATCCGCAGAAAAAATGACGTAACCGACATTTAATGGAAAGTATCAGTCCGAAAGAAGAAAATGGAATACTTAGTCAAGAAGTATATTATAGTTCATCGCAATGGTCAATGTTTCTTCTAAGTGGTATAACACACTACGAAACATTGTTGATAAGGGTGATATTTTCATTCCAGTTCTATAAGATGAATAAACAAAAAGAGAGAAGAAACGTTATTTTTTAGCCTAGAGATCAAGCTTTTGGGATCTTAAGTCGTTTCTTTAGGTTTGAATAATATTGTTGCTAAACTTTGAACAGGGTTTGAATAATATTGTTGCTAAACTTTGAACAAGGTTTGAATAATACTGTTACTTAACTTTGAAAAGGGTTTGAATAATATTGTTGCTAAACTTTGAACAGGGTTTGAATAATATTGTTGCTAAACTTTGAACAAGGTTTGAATAATATTGTTACTTAACTTTGAAAAGGGTTTGAATAATATTGTTGCTAAACTTTGAAAAAGGTTCGAATTATATTGTTGATAAACTTTGAACAAGGTTTCTATAATACTGTTGTTGATTTTTGAACAAGGTTTGAATAATATTGTTGCTAAACTTTGAACAAGGTTTGAATAATGTTGTTGCTAAACTTTGAACAACAAGGTTTGAATAATATTTTTGCTAAACTTCGAACAACAAGGTTTGAATAATATTGTTGCTAAACTTTGAACAACAATCCTCAATTAATATGTTCGAAAATGTTGAAAATTTTGTTTCTTGAATATTCTGTTTACATTTAGATTTCATTTGTCTGATTGTTCCACTCAGACTGTATCACCATGCTTAACTTACAAATTTAGGTTCTAGAGTTTGGCCAACAGATGCTGTTTCAATTTGCATTATTTCATACACGGCAGATATTTTTTGATTTATAAAATAATTAAGTATATTGGACCAACACTATTTTCAACAACTACTGTATGGAGGTCGGCGGTGATGTTTCTGTACGCCTTATACGCGTGTCATCATCAAGTAGGGCGAATTTCAGACTGATTTAACACTTTGTGACTCATTTTACTGGCAGGCTACACTGTTGGCACCCTTAGAAAATTATATCCTTCATGTTTCTGAAAACCAGGCGGAGTAGGTATTTTGGAAGGGTGTTGAAATTTCTCCACTACAACTGTGTGTGTGTGTGTGGTTAGTGCTTCAATAACGCGAACATTAGCCCATGTTCAACACGTGTACGTTATGAACAAAGGCCAAACATACTGAGTTGTGGAGGGAGTTCTGATTTTAGGTGGAGGGGCATTAAGAATCTCGTAGTTATATATATAAAAAATAATAAATCCACCGAAAGAAAACATCTAAGCTCATACCTCTTATATTTTTCCTGATTTTGTTTTATATCTAATAAATTTCTTAAGTAATGACTTTTTTTTTTATAGTTAGCCGATTGTATACGGTACAGGTCGTGGTCTGTATTGTTTGTAAAACTAAAAGCCTCATCTATCTTACTAAGACAAACTTGAACAATAAGCTGTGACAACAAAACGTTTCTGAAACGATTACAAGTTACTGCTCGACCTGATCTCCAAAAAGGTATTAGCAGAATGCTAATACTAGATGATAAGTGTGAAATTGGCACTAACTATATTTTTCATGCAAGTTTGGAACTTATCATATATATATATGATGTGGTCTGTCTTAATGTAGTTTGTCTGTGGCAGGTACGTTTAAGATATTATACGATATATATATATATATACGTGTGTTTGTAGAGTTCCGGCACAGTGATCAAGTGGTATGCCTGCTGAACGACTTACTAGATAAATGTTTGTTTTTCATTTTTTTCCGACCATTAGTTACGCTAAACCTCTTTGCATCAGTAGTGGATGACGTAGAAAGCATTGCTTGCAGTCACTTGTGTAAACGTTATGCGCGTATCTCAGGAGCGTTGCATGTGTGTGCTTGAAACTCTATATACATAACAAGGCTTTGCGTACTCTTTGAATAATGGGGGCGTATTTTCGACCCAGTTAGAGAAATGTTTTGTATGGTAGCGTACAATATCTGGTAACAATACATTACACGATTTTTCAGATTGATGGATACTTGGGTGAACAGATGATCACGTGGGATAAATTTATAGGTCGACTAAATGACAGCTAAATTGATGGCATGACAGATGAGCAGAAAAGTGGCGAGATACTTGAATAAGAAGAGAGGAGTGATTGATCAACAATAAATAGACCATCAGTTAGATACACAAGTAACAGAGCAAAAAAAAAACTGCTAACATATGACAGTAGTAACAAAGAAAGACAGACGGTTCAACAAACATGAATACAACTGAGGGGAACTTGTGGTTGTGAATTTGACAAATAAATGAACATTTAATGATGGTGGGGAAAGATGAAATAAAAATGACAGTAGTAAACTTGGTGGTTTACCGCATTAATATATCTTTATTTTAGATTAACTTCTCGAATATTT